TAGATGTGTATAAGAGACAGAGCGGGGAGCGGGGGAGAGATCAGACGGAAGCTATGAACACTGCGGGGGCTGCTGCTGCTCAGACGCCTCCGCCGTCGGCGGCGGCAGAAGATGTAGACTTGGACTCGCTCTTGTTTGTCGGCGCATACGGGACTGTGCACGCGCTCGAACGCGCCACAGGCAACACGGTATGGCGGTCGGTGTTGCGCGGCACTGGATGCGGATCGGGATCGCTGGTCACGCTCTTGCCAGCTGTCGTCCAAGGCTTGATTGTGTGCGGCTGTCGAGGGAAGGTAGTGGCGTTGAGAATGAAAGATGGAGTGGAGGTCTGGCATAACTCGTTACCGAAGCTAAGGTTCGGTAACGTAACGGTGAGCTCGATGCGGGAACAGCACTCCGCCGCTGCCAAGGCAGCGGCGAACGCTGCTGCGGCTGTTGCGACGGCGGCGGCGGCAGCGGCCGCCGTCGCGCCAAACAACCCGCCATCGTCCGTCGACGAGGGCTCTGGAGAACGGTCCGGCGATTCTCGACCATTGGATTCGGCCGATCGATCTCCTAGCCTCAGGGGATTCTTGCAGTACCCGTCGCCCGACTCCACGCCGCCGTTGTCGCCACAAGCATCGACGACTGGGATGTTGGGAGACTCAGCCATCTTAGATGCCGCGATGCATCGGGATCTGTCGGGACTGGCATTCATTGCCACGTCGGGAGAAGTTAGGGCTCTGGATGTCCGACGCGGCGGGGAGATGGTGTGGAACTATCGCTTACCGGCGAGAGGGAGTCCCTTCGTCAATCTGCTGTTTGCTGGGGGAACGTTGTTCGCAGGGGGGGCCAGTTGTGTCATAGCCTTGGATCCGCTGACCGGGCAGCAGACATGGAGGAATGACCTGTATGCAAGATGGCGGACGCGAGTCACATTGGCAACCGCCACGTCGGCGGCGTGCGAAAGCAGTCAGCCAGTCATTAGCACCGCCTCTTAATTAGCACCGCCTCTTAATTATGATAGTAATAATCATCGCAAAAATCTCTGTTCTTCCTCGACAGATTGTTGTCGTTTTATGCTTCGTCAGAATCTCGTTCGTATATCATTAGACAGAGAATAGACAGACAGCCAAACAGATAACACATTCGATGGTTAGGGAAAGGTGGATGGTGGGTTATAGGTAGGTAGGTAGAGAGAGAGAGAGAGAGAGAGAGAGAGAGGAAAGGAGGCGACGAAAGAGTCTAGATTTCGGTACTAGTACAGTTGACGGCTCAGAGGGAGCTGAGGTGCTCCTGTGTATGTGTGATTAGTTCTGTGGTGATTGGGTGATGGAGGTGAAGAAGGTGGGCAAAGCGTTGGTGGTGTAAGCAGCTGTCTCCTGCCGTCACGATGAAGCAATGCAAGACGAGGTTGGGTTTCCAGGTCCTTTTCTAGACCTGGAGGCCGGGATCGGCGCGTCAAAAGCCATGCAGTATGCATTCTTCTCTCGTCAATCCCCCCCCCCCCCCCCCCCCC